AATGTAGTTTTACAGCCCGATTTCTAGAGAATCAAGCAATATAGAAAAGTTTGTAGAATTTATCACAATACATGGAAATTTCGAAGTGTGACTAAATACACAACAGTATCTCTAGTAGATATACACTAAACGCTACTTAGACCGCACACTCATATCAATCTATATATGTTCCTTCAAGAAGAAAGTTCAACAGGTGTTGTCGTTAGGAGAGTTTTCACTATTTAAAGCTTTTTTCAAATAGATCTTGGCTAAAACACATTTAATGTGAAAATTCTTTTGCAGTCAACAATTTTGCTTTGATAAAAGTCAAAAGAATAACATTGAGAAAAACATGGAGCAAATGCATATTTTCCAATAATTTCCATTGTTTACAAGTACTTCAAATTAAATAATAACATTCCTGCGTATATACTTGAAATTTTTTTTGCTTCAATTCCCTCGGCGATATCTCTAGCACTAGCATTAGTCAGATTCTTGCCTCTACGACCCACTATTTCGAGGTCTTTTTTGGAGGCAGGAGGACTTGTCCTGCCTTAATAGGAATTTAAAAATTTAGTTGAAAGCAATCCTATGTAGTTTATGGATATTTTTACACTAACAACTGTATAAGTTCAAACAGGCTTCGGTACTTAAAACTATTCTATGGAATTAAAATGTTTCATCGCATCTGTTTGAATAATACTATAAGAGTGAAATGCTTTTTTCAAATTTCTGCCTTATTATTGCAGTATATTAGGTTCCTATAACTTTTATGAAACAGTCGTTCTCTAAATTTAATGAAAACGTGTTGGTACTTTTAATTAACAAAATATTGTTCTAATCGAAAGGATTTAGTTTAATATATGTACATATTTGCATTACTCACTAAAGAGCACTTTAACCATTTTTTACGAAAAACACCTGTAAAGATCAATTGTGGTTCATGCAATTGCTTTTGAAATGTAAAACAATTAAACTTTTTTAATTATATTAAAAAACAAATATAAACCAAATAGTTTAATTAATTTCTATTTGCCCGCTGGCCGCATCAATACACCAACACTAACACAAATACATGTGTCGAATGCTTGAATTTCAATATCAGACACAAATTAAAATTTAGCATATTTGCTCTTGCAGTAATACTTGTGTGAGCAAATAAGCTTTAACTTAGTTACTTCATTAAAATACAAAATTATCATGTATTTAAAATTATAAATTGTTTAAATATGCAAATGCAAATAGTACTAGTAATCACGGCAAAGCTCACCAAACATTGGCAGCAACATCATTATTTAATTGCATATTTTTAGGCAAATAAACAATAAGCGTGCATGCATACGTGAGCGGATTATGAGCCACAAATTTCAATACTCGAAAACAATTAGAAAAACTACAACAAAAGTGTAAACGGAAACAAAAATTAAAGTAAAAATAAAAATAAAAATAGAAGCGGATTTGTTTTGCTCAAATATAAACTGTTAATTTTGCGAAATTAAATAAAATATTTTTCGAGACATTTTTAGTTTATGAAATTGTACAAATAAAAGTTTGTCAGTTAAATAGAAATGAATATGCAAATATAAATGAATTTAATATGGCAGCACTGGCTCCGTAGTTGGGGCTCCGTAGTTATAAGTCAACACAACAAGTATGATAATATTTAGCACGCACTGCCGAGTAATTTATATTGGCAACATTATTCACAAAGCAACATGTTGTGCGCCTGAAATTATGCAAAATTTTTTAAATTCAAAGTGTTCAAAGTGCATTTTGCATTTTTACAAAATAATTCTGTTTGTACATGTAAGGATGTATGAATGTATAAGGATAATGGCGCTTATACATTTGTGCATGTGTTTTGATAATAATAATTTTCTGTTATTTTTCGCCTGAAAACAGGTGGAGTAAATTGTGTGGCAATTGCCATATTTTCATTTGTTGCATTTTATGATTTACCGCAATATTTTCTTAATTTATTTGTTTATTGAAAATTTTGTTGATTACTGCAAATTGCGCTGCAGTAGAATTTTTTGCTTTGGCTTAAGTTAGTGAGTGAGTTTAGCAGACACAAATTGTTGTTTTGTTATTAATATTTTGGGTGTGCTAAGCACAAATTATGTGTTTCAACTGCGCCAAGAACTATGCAAATAAAATTTTTGGCAATATCACATGAGCATATCACATGAGCGGGATATAGTCAGCCAGTAATTTTGTTGGAAGGAATACAACAAATGTATCTTTTTTTTTGTTAAAAAAAGTCCACAATATATATTGTAATAAATGGCAATAAATAATTAAAGTAGAGATTGAAAAATTTTGCTTTGAAATACAAACTAAAATTTCAATGAAAAACAATAATTTTATTGGAATTTTACACCTGATACAGTTCTTTATGGTTTTTATTTACAGAACAGTTAAAGTACTTATTTAGTAATGAATTATTGTGTAATTTGAAATTTATATACAATTATTATCAACATTCAATTAAAAAGTTCAAATTTTAGTGAACATTTTTGTGACATACTAAACATTTTCAACTCTTGCATATTTGTGAAATTGTAAACGAAGAATTTTAACGGTCAGTTTACAATCAAATTTTTAGTTATCAAAAAATTTTAACTGAAATTTGAAAACTTATTAACTTGACTTCCGTTTAAATACTTGTCTTTAAGTTTGATTAGGTTATATTGGCGATTCTTAAGTTCGACAATTGACCCATTGTGTTACTACATACAAACTCAAAACCCTGAAAACTACATTGACTCTTTGGCCAAATTCGAAATGCTCTTTAAAAGAAGATATCCTGAAGCTCTCCAAGCGGTTAAAACAAAACATCTAATTCGAATTCATGATGTACTACGAGCTGATTTCAATGTATCAAAACCTACTGGCTTGTTGTTTTGAGTAAATATAACTGCCTTTGATATGCTAAACTAACATAAAGGCCTCAGTTTTGGAATGAAGTTTATTGGTTTGACAATTCTTAAGTGTTTGACAATAATTAAGTGGATTTTAGAACAACGTGGCTTGAGTTCATCACATACCTCTAAGAGCTCTGCTTGTCCTCAGTTAGCGCTATTCAGCAAAATAGATGGTAGTCATCCCATTAATATTTTAGCTCCGCTTAAAAGAATTTAAGTTACAGTGGAAAGATTTATCAATATTCATAGTATCAGACTCAGAAGAAAAGAAAGGCTTTGCAATAAAACTGTTATGGATTGTCAGATTTTTCATTAATTCCATTAAATTACAATTTTGAATCAACATTTTTTCTCATTGTTGTACAATGTCTATATCGCTGATTTTCCAAATCCTCAGAATCACATTTTAACAATATCTAGAAATGATATTGCTATTTTATACTCGTAAACTTTAGCCGGCTCAATCTAATAAATGTTGATATTTATACTTACATTGTTGAAAAAACACTGTTTTATCAATATTTTATTGCCATAGATAAAAGAAAATCTCTGTTTCTTGAATGAAATATCAATAACAATACAAACATCCTGTCAATCTTAAAAATAGAGATTTTAAGATCTTCCCTATTATTTACTAAGAATGTATGGAAGTTAAAGTTCCAAATTAATGAAAAGTAGCTGGTGTGAATTTGAAAGATATAGCATTCTCACCAGATATACATATAACCAATCATAAATGATAAAATGGAACCAGTGCAGCGATCCCATATGCTCACCTATATTCTTGATAATGCTCTATACTTTTCCAGAAGAGTACGATGATTGACCTGTATCTCGTGACTCCTAATGCAACGTCCTGTTTAAATTCATTAGATCTCTATTTTTTGTTTTTTTTTTTTTTATAAATACTGTGTGTTATTTTATATTAAGTAAATAAAAAAGTATTATGGTTGTTAATATTAATGTTACAATAATTTTAATCATCAATATTTAACACTTTATAATAATCAAAATTCTATGTGAAAATATAGCATTATTTATAAATGAATACTTAACAATCATTTTTTTTTTAAACATAATATTGGTGTGTTTTGGTGCGCTATAATATTTCTAATACTTAAAAATAACTTCTTACAGCCAAGTCAATGATTTCAATTTCCGATCTAAATAGAATACAACAGATGTACATATGAATTAATTACAAAACAATAATATGTCGCACTACATACTAACTGACACTACTATCCTTGCTTGAAAAGATTCAATAATATATATATACGAAACCATCATTTTCGAATCATACTATAGTCTCGACCGTCTTGAGAGCCGATTTGGGGTAAGATATGTGTATCTTGTTCGTGGAATCAGAATACACAGAATAGTTACAGTTGTCAAATATTGATGTATTAATCGTAATTAATTAAGAAATGCTAATCACACACCATCTCTCTTAATAGTCCCTCTACCGCAGATAAATATTTTTAATATGCTTTAAAAAAATTTCTACATTCATATACAGACTTGAAATAATTCTGCATCTTGCAGACAAAAAAGATTTCAAACAGCATCGCAAAATAAATTCCATTAAACTATATCAGATAAACTCAATTCCTTTCTGTCTATTCTCTTCCTTGTTAAAACCTGTCAAAGTAGCTTAAAAATGGTGCTGAAACAACTGCAAAATTACTAGCTGAAAGCAGTCCAACATAGGAATAGCACATGGAGTTAAACTAATTGTCCTTAATTGCGGTTTGTGTGATTCACAACAAATATAGATTTAGCCATATCAAAAATACTAGCAACCTTATTGGTGATTCATAAAAAATGACTGGCCAGGGTCCTATAAGCTTTGAAGTAATAGTCTGAAAGTTGAAATCAATCAAGTTATTTCATTTCGTCTTATGAAGTCTCCGAGATTGCTTTAATTCAGTTCTCGCAGAAAGGTGAACTGAATTCATATTTTACTCTATAATATGCTTTTGGAATAATAACAATTTGTATTAAAAGTATAAAAAAAATTTGTGATGCTGATGTGTGAGTGTGAGATCTTTTCAATATTATATTACTTTAATTAATTATTATTACAAATCAAATTGTAAATATCGACCCTTACTTTTGGGTATACATATTTTTTTTGATTATATTTAAATGCTTTTATTTCCAATCAAAAATTATCGGTTGATGCTTTAATCAGTTGCTTATTAACGAAATGAACAGCCGATTCTAATTGAAGTTCTCGATGGTTTCTCACTTTGAAAAACTCGAATTCGATTGCCAGGTCTCGCAAAAAACTCGCTCGGTCAGCTGCAATTCCTATACCAGCGATTCCGACTTTTTCACCAACTTTGATTTTTTTGACAACGTCTAAAAGTTAAACTTCAGATACTTGAATATTTCGACACTTAATACTTACCGCTTAGTATATGCACTAGTACATTTTCCATTGACGTATCGGCAGCAAGCATCACAAAGTCATCGTTTTGCAGACTAAGCAAGCAGCCCAGAATATTCATTGTTGTACTTCTGATAAATAAACTGGAACTGAAGAAACAATAACCGGAGATTTTGTGCTCTAAGTCGTACTTAGAGATAATGACTGTGATTTTTCCGTTCGACTTAAATCTAAAACTAAAGAGCACAGCATAAAATATAATCTAAGTGACTTAGTATTTACTGTAGCTTTAGCATCAGTTTTATTGCCAGTTTTGTTCTTTGTTAAACTTCTGAAAGCTCTTTTCTTGAATTTTGCAAGCAAAATTATGTTGAACTCTATTTCAATATTTGATATTAAAAAATAGTATAAAAAAATACTACATATTAAATCAAGCTAAATGATTTAAAATTCTGACATATTTATGCTTTTACATTATTCAAATTTTTTTTATAGAAAATCAAAATTTAGTTCAAGCAAATACAATTATCATATTGGAAGTAGTCTTCATCGACTTCAAATTGAGGTATTACTTCATTTATATTTTTAAGGCAAATAAAATTCTTATACATGTGTAAATACATAAATATATATGATGTGATGTATAATGTAGTATATGAATTTATAAATACATAAGTACATAAGTATAATATAAATATAATTATAAAATACATATATAAACTCTCGTCTTGCTGTCCTTTCCTTTTAGTGTTTAATGATAAATGTATTTAGAAACTAAAGCCACGTTATTATAGGGGTCTCTTAAAGAAAAATACGCCGTGGAAAAATACTAGCATCTTCCAAGGGGGAAATTTAAGCAATTTTAAAATGCGTACTCATCAATATTGAACGGATTTACCAGGTTAAAAATATTGCAATACTGACAGACAGCCAAGAGATCTACTCTAAGCCCAGAAGGGTGCGCAATGGACCCGATGGTCGCAGTGCCACATCCGCTAACAGTTGTAATAATAATTCTTTTACTACTATTTTAGTACGTTTTTTGTGCTTAAATTTTAATGGTATTTATTTTTATGTAGATATGCTTCTTGATCTAATTTTTAAATTTACATTGAAAATAACAATTTTTAAGTTAATGTGATCATGACTCTCTTTATAACATAGCACTTGTATTATCTGTTCCGTAAATGTATTACTGACTAAAATTATTTATTTATTTTATTTGTTTTTTTTAATATCATATTATTATATTATAATAATTATATATTACTATTTTATCATATATTAGTATCATTTTAACTTAAATTGTATATAAATGCATGAACCTGTCTTTCCGTCTACTGAATAGTTTGCCCATCCTACCTATATTCGTAGAATACTGCTGTGCTAAAAAAATAATATGAAATTTTCGATATAAAATTCGTGGGCTTTTTAAGTGTCATCTGTATCAAATTTCATATCAATATCTGCATTTGTCATCTAATTATGTATGTATGAATGTCCTTCAGTGACCAGGTTATGTCACAAAAAAGTTTAAATAATTTATAGAAGGTAGTAAAATCAATTTAGTCAAAAATTGCCTTTGGCAACTATCCACATCAACTAATAGACAACACATCAAGGAATTAAAAACTTTGGTATTCAAAAATCGTTGCTAGGCAATACAAATACTGGTACTAGTTCAGTGTTTGGAGAGAGTAAAAATTAGTTTTAAATTTGTGAAGAGGTTTTTTCGAATAGTAGTGAACTACAACAACAAAAATTTTATTTTTTATATTATTTTAATTAGTTGGATTTTTGGCTGATCATACAGCTGTTTCGAGTATTGCCAAATGCCCATCAACAGTGGTCTTGGAAATAATTTTTGTATTTAATTATTCGTAAATAATTATTTTTGAGACTGCAAGTACCAAGAATCGAACTCTGGAGTTTTGTTACTTTTGCTATGAAAGTTTTTATTAACAATTTTACTTGCTGTGTTAATATTAGAACGAAATCATAAACCAGCTGTAGACTAATTGAATTAATTAATTAATTATATTTTTATTTTTAATTGTTGAATTCCAATACTATTCTGTAAATTTTTAGGTAAAACAGATTCGCGTTGAAGTTGTCAAACAATGGAATGATCATATAGAAATAATCCTTGCTTACTATAGTTTTCCATATTGTATATATCCGCATAAGAACTTTCATTGCTAATGTTAAAACTTTTTACAAGAAAGTAATTTTAATAGTTGGTAAATGTTTCCGGAATGTATTTAAAATTTTTAAGAACTTAGTAGGTCACATTTTCGTAAATCATTTTAAAATGTATTCAAAAAATATTGCTATTGGAAAATTTGTGTGACTAGACTTAAGTAATTTATTTTTGGGCTAAATTTGTTTAAAAATAAAACTATACTCGAAAGTGTTTCCGAAAAAAAAAATTCCCCACAAAGGTAAAATATAATGGACTAAATTTTTTTACAATAAAGTAGTAAGACAACAAATTTTGATAGCTCCACAAAATATAGATACACCACTAAACAATTTCATTCAAATTTTGTTTATCATTTTAGAATTGCAAAATTCCTTTGGAATCCGGCTTATTTGATATAGCAGAATTAGCATTCGACTTTATTTTGTTATTGCGGGTACCATTATTAGTATACATAATTTTTCTTTTGAGTCTGGATAAGATCTTAATAATAATATCAAGATAAGTGTAGTAAATACATATATTATATGGATCCGTAAAAATTATGTGGTACTCTGAATGAAAGTGGTATTTGAGCGGTAGTATTCTCAATTTTTGTTTAAGAAATGATTGGGTGTGTTCCCATAGGTTGAATGAAAGTGGTATTTGAGCGGTAGTATTCTCACAAAACCCATGGGAACACACCCAATCATTTCTTAAACAAAAATTTACGTTATCGAAAGATTTTCATTGAGTAGTTAATATTAAGATTACCAAAAATGGATTATTTGATAACTATATTATCAGATAATCGAGGTCTTTTTTGACATGCATTCACGAACTGCACTCCTGGATTCTTGAACATCTTAGATCCAATAACAAGAAAATAACAATATTCGAAACTTTATGCGGTATAAGTAGAGCAGCATGAAAGAGAGTTTTAAGAGAACTAGAAAGACAAAGAAGGGAGAAACTTTTTATAAAACTAAGAGGTTTTAAATAATCTTATTTACTATGAAGTACTTCAACTGAAAAAGAAAAGGTGTAAACGAAGAAAATTATTGGCAAGACTAAGCAACATGGATATTGGAACAGGTCTTATGTGCAGATTTTGCTATGAAGTGAATAAGCGGTCAAAGCATGTATTTAGATACTGTTATAAATTAAAAAATAGTCTATAAATTTAGTTGGAATTAGAATCAATGGCAAATACTACCAGCTGTTGCTTCAGCTGACATTTGTACATTTCTGAGGTCAACGGTATTGGTTACAAGATGTACCTTGTAGTAGCAAAATATAGAACTGAATGCATTTCGTAATTAGAATATATTACAAAAGATTAGTGCCATAGAAACACATCTAATCTTAAAATGTATATATTAGGTATATTATTATACGGTTATTTTATTTTATGTATTTGAGAGTGGAACTAAATTTTGTACATATTAAATCAGTTCTTTTAATATATTTTTAGTTACGTATAACGCCTAAATTTAAAGAAAAAATATTGTTTACCTGCTAAACGACCGTTTTCAGAGATTTTATTTCTTGCTACCGTTAACACATCACTTTCAGATTGACCCTTTATTCCCAGAATTTAATTTTCGAGAATTTTCTGCTTTTTTTAATGGCTGATCTAAGTATATGCGCAATCCAACACAATTATTTTGTTTTTTTCTAAAATAAAGTTCTATGTCTTTTTTTATTAGTTGATATAGCTTAAATATATCTACTTCTTGAACTTAAGCACTGAACGCTTATGTATATCAAGGTTCCTTTTCTTTCCTTCGCCGAATCTCATTACTATATCTGGGTTCTGATCGATGTACTGTCTCATATGCTCTCTACTTTGTTTTTCCATGATTGAATTTTTCAGCATAACAATGTGGCACCCATTTACTTATTGTTATTTCTTGTTGGTCAAAATTTCAATCCCCTTGATCGACATTAGTAGTTATTGTAACAAAAATTATTGTGGGTTTTTACGAAGACAAATGTCGCCAGTTATCTTTGTCTATTTTGCATCTTCATTGAAAATATGTAGTAAACATTAAGCTTAAATAAGAAGAGGAGTTCTGCAGCGTGGAACACAATCAATAATTAATCAGTGGTATTTCAGTTATTTTAACATAGTCTGTCTGGAATTATATATGCTAAAATTTTATATATGTCCATACTCGTATATATATTTAACTAGGCTTAAATCAAAAAAGAAGCTCTGCAGCGTGGAACACAATGAATAATTTATCAGTGATATTTCTGCTGTTAAGTATATCTGCTATTTTAGTCTGTCTGGAATTATATATGCTAAAATTTTATATATATACATTTAACTAAACATAAATCAAAAGAGAAGCTCTGTAGCGTGGAACACAATGAATAATTAATCAGTGGTATCTCTACTGTTTTATATACATACATATATATATAAGTGTATAGTGTATAGCGTATGATATATGATGTATGATATATATAGTATATGTACTATTTGTAGTATATATAATAACGTTATGACCATGTAGTTGTTGCAACCTATTCCATGACATTGATGATATATTATTTCACTCCTCAGTGCCTTTTTTCTCTTTCCCCATTGTAACAATATAACTATAACAATTTTGTAAATATTGTGGTTATTTATTTATTAGATACATATATATTAAATATATAATATGTTTACAGCTTTTGGTTATAATAAGTAAACAATATGAGTTCTGGATGTTCTGATGATGAGCAAGGGGATACTGTATTCCAACCAATTACCAAAAGTCACTGTGCTGCTTATTTAAAAGAGAACGTTCGGGTAATATTATACAAGCAGTAAGTATATTTTACTAACAAATTTTCCTTTTCTTAGACCGTTGCCATGCTAAAACAATGTTTAAGAGAGGTTATTAAAGAAAAACCGCAACATCCTATTGATTTTCTAAAAGGTTATTTAAATATTGAGGGTAATCGTGAAAAAATGCTTCGTCTTGTAAGTTTTAACTTGTAAATACTATATCTTAAACATAACTTGATTGTCTTCATAATTAGATCGACCAGCAAGTGAAAGAATACGAAAAGGAACAAGAACTTTCTGCTCATGATCAAGTTACCCAGCTGGATAGCGATGTCAACAGTTTCATTTCTATTGCCGATATATTTCCTTGATATATGATTGGTACTCATCGGAATGATCTTTTATTCGCACAAAACCATACTGCTCAATTAGATGCTGCACTTTTTAAAAACATTATACTTTTTACTATGCTATCCCAATCTTGCTAAACATTATGTAATGCTTTAGACTGTATTACCTTTGCATACATTACACATCTTTAAACTATAGCAGTTTTGGAAGAACCTAAATATAGCTTCTACTAATGTTCATATCTCTAGTTAATGAATTAAGTAAACTATAAAAAAAACACCATTTGTATGTTTATCTTTACTCTTGACTAAGTTCTTATAATGTATATGTACTAGATAATTGATTTTATTTAATCCAGCTTCTAGACTGGCAAGTTTTTGTCAAAGTAAATATTTTGTTGCCAAAAAAATATATACAAGCTTTCTTAAAATTGCCAGAAACTTTTAATCAAAATTTATGTTGCAATTTTGTGAAAAGCAGTACGTATTTGCATTCGAATATTTAAAATTTGCCAAAAAGGTACCAGTGTAGACGCTATTAAAAAACTTATCTATTAGAGAGAGAGAACTATTCCAGTTTACACTTCACTTTACAGTTTACCAAAACAATTTTTTAGACTGATGTTTTTTGATATAGTCCAGTGTCAGCATTTCTTTAAGACGACTGGCGTGTTCGGCGTTATTGATGTTTTTACGGCCGCTTTTAAAGTCAGCAAACTACTTCTCTGCCATTTGACTCAATGGAACAGAGTTCGGGTAGCACTTATCAAGGCAAGCCTATACTATTATGGTATTTTTGCTATCTAAAAACAATGATAAATCAAGATATGAAATTGCTTTGCATCTATTGTTCCTCAAATATAAAAAGTAGAGTGCCTGAAACAATTACATGAGTAATCGTTCATACGCCATAAAATCAAATAAAATATATCATTTAATAGTTGAAAAAAAAGAAAAATTTTACACGTATATAGAGTTGTCATTAGTTGTCAGTATGTCACCATACGGACTTATCACCCAATGTAATAAGCTATTTACATGTAATCAATTTAGACTACTCTGGAGGTTGATGCACTATAGCAAAGTAAACGTACCTCGTAAACGTAATTAGCAAACTCAAAAACTACCAGCAGAGTAAATGACATCTATTGGATACTATACCATCCTTCCGATAATGTTTCCATTACTTCATCTAGTACAATGATAAACAATAGCAGTGAACTAATGATTACTTATCCTTTTCAATATTATTTAAGAGTAAATAATTGGAAAAGTTTATCAGCGAGTTTAACAACTGAAGCGGTTTTGAACCTCCGCCTTGACGAAAAAAAACAGTTCTTAATACTAATTTTTATTTTTTGTATTATCGTTTGCTATTGTTACTGTTTTCATTGTGTATTTTAAACAATAGTAAATCACAACAACAAAATTTTATTATTTATTAGCTTATTGAACTTTTTGCTGACCATACATCTGGTTCAGGTATTTCCAAATTTATCTAACTATATTTAAATATTTTCAAATTTCCAAGGGTTGAACTCGTGTTCTGTAAATTTGTAGTTCAAAGTCAGTAAATTTGACCCAAAGCTGTACTTGCCTTGAAGACCTTCCAGTTCACCATCGCGACCCTTCGCGACCATTTCACACGGGCGAAGGTAGAAGGAGTTTTCGTCTTCTCCTATTATCCACCTCCTAGTTTGGACTAAATAAGTTCGAAAGGCTATTGACTGACATCGCAGATACCACGAGATCGTACTTGACTTGTATGTTCGAATTTACAATTTTGTTAAATTGCTGTGAAAGTGCATTTACAAAATCACTTGCTGTGTTACATTAGAACGAAATTATAAACCAGCTGTTGAATAATTGAATGATTAATTATATTTTTACTTTTAATTATTGAATTTCTATACTCTTCTTGTACAGAGGCAATATTTATTGCATGATTTTATTACTCTTTCTTATGAATAGAACCTATTCTAGGCATTATATGTTAATGCTATTTTCACTCCACGATTCGCTCACTAGAAATTAAGAGGTTTAGTAAATATTTCTATTCATAACAATCCTTTAATTAACTGTAACATCTCCGTCACCATAATTTTTTATAAAGTACTTTCCTCAGTAACGTACTATTGGTGCCAAACGCACACTTGCGGCAAACAAACGCGCATGCGGTTGTAAGACAAATTAGAGCATTATAATATTTAATTTAAGGCAACGTCACCATATAATATTTACCTATAAATTTCAATGTATTAGGATTTCCGGTAAGGGAGCACAATATCCAAACAATAAGAATTCTCTCTAAGGAAGCAAGATATTCTACTTTTAGCAGCTTTCGCCAAGAGAGCAAAATATTGCTGTCAGTTAAAGCCAATTGTTAAATTTCAACTGATATTTTTACTTTTTTTTTGTTTTTGCAGTAGGTGGAAACATCGAAAGCCGCCGTGTGAGACTCGAACCCACTAAACCATCTCTCTTTGAAATGAAGGTAGAAGATTGCACCCGCAGAAGCAACCCCATTCTAGAATTAGGAGAGACAAAAATAATAGCTTAGCATTTGTAAACAAATGCCTCTACGCTGGGAGTGAAAACGCTTGAACGTTGCAGTTATGGGTGATGAGAAAATGTCTAGCGAACTATTGAGAGAAGGAGACCATTAACGGTATACACTATGTAGGTGTTTATGAAATCCACGATTATATAGAGAGAAGGGGGGAATGGGAGGAGCGAGCCATCTGATCAAGGTAGAAAGAAAGAGATTGGGAGGGGGGGGGGGTGGGTTCTATGAAAAAGGACTTGAAGAAGCTCAGAAAGAAGATCTTCGACATGAAGAATATCGAGAAGGAGATTGTGTCGACGAGTTAATCGTTTTATTCAAATTTATTCTACTTTTATGTATTTTTCTTTGTATTTTTCTTTTAGTCCCGCTATAATGGAACTATTTTACTTAACATAACTTGCTTAATCTAGAATTCTTAACAAGTACTTAACACTAACTTTTCTAACATAACTTATTAAACATAAATTGATCTTAACATAACTTATTTAACATAACTTGTTAGAATATACTACAGCATACTTAGCTATGTATACCAGCTCTAATAAAATCCTTTTAAGCCGTACATAGTAAACATTGAAACTTATTGCATTAGATATTGCTGAAAAATATTGTTTAACCCTTTCTATCGAAATTCACTTCAAAATTTAGTACTGGCTTAAAAGTATTCGAAAACCTAGTATATTTACACCAGAAATGATAACAAAAGAATATTATCTGTATGTAAAAATGACTGAATCATTATAAGGATTTCGAATATGGATGCTTCTAGTTAACGTGTATATGACGTTTTGTTTTCCTATCGTTTCTTTAGGTTGGTTTAATTTCACATAGGTAAGGAGTGGTTTACTTAGACAATTCTCCTTATTTTGAGTTGTCAAATCATTTGAATTAAAATTGCGATATACGAAAAAATTTGTGTGGTTTGCAGTATTTAGAAAATGTCAATTTTTGATATGGCCTATATGCCATACCTTATAGAGGCATAAAATTCAATCCTAGAAATTTTAAAAGAAAACGTAATCAAAAGTACTTCCATAATATTTCTATACTTCCCTTTCTCCATTTCTCCCTCCCTCCCTTCCTCCCTTTCTACGTCTTCACTCGTTACTCACTAATGTCACAATTCAAATCCATAAAATTGTGGCAGAAAAGCACCGAAATGGCTTTCTCAAGTTTTTATTGCGCGTTCTTGAAACAATTTCTTATTATTTCGCTTTTTACTTTAAGGACAGACACATCCATTGTTTTTTTTTTGTTTTTGTAATTTTATGTGCATTTTTGTCAACTTCTATTTAAGGACAATAAACACATGAACACATCCGGGGCGGGGCGGGGCGGTGATATGAAAAATTGCACAGTGTCGTCTTCCTAACGTTCAAGACGGCATTGACAGTGAATTTAAGGGGATTTACTGTGTTTGTGTGTGCGCATCCTCGACCCTCATGCGTGAGAATGTGCGTGTGAATATGTTTATGTGTGAAATAAGCAAACTATGAACGACCAAAAAACTTAAAAAGGTATTATGGTCCTTAACAAGGGAGACATTTTTACAAGTTCTTTAGTTAATTTTGCTGCGCTGGGGAATAGTTAAGTAAGAAACTGTGACCAAGTGAAAAATATAATAAAATAAAATGAAAACAGCTCGCAAGTATGAAAAAGGTATGTATGATACTACGTTGCAGGGGGCAAATGTAAGCGACGGGCGGAGGGACATAAAGTTGTTAAATAAGTTTATTAAGTGGCTTAGAATATGCGACCCAGTGTATTTTGTTTGCATGGATGGTGGATGGTGGATGGTGTGTGGGGAGCGTGTTACTTGCTGTGGGAATTCAAGCTGAAATAATTGACTTGCGTTAAAGTTTGATTGGATTTTTTTCTTCATTTTATGTGAGAAGTGTAAAAAATTATATGTGAAGAATATGAATTATAATAAATGGTGGGCGTAAATAAACGATAGCTAAATTTTTGGTACAATCAAATAGAAAGCTTCAGAGTTTTTAAGCTTCTTTTGGCCATCAGTAAGTATTTTCATACAAATATTTTTTCATTCTTTCATTATAAAAGACACTGTATTTACAATAAAAATAACATTTTTCTCAAAAATTTCCAAATAAATCTATATGCAATCTCATTGTCTAATGTACCATAAGGTTATTTCTAAAGCACAACATCTATTTCATTATAGACTCACTATAATACTCTTGACCTTCCAGGTGTATGCTAAGATATTTAACTAGGAGATAGCGCCAGAGAAAAATACGAATCATATTAATTTGACAAACACGTTATTTTGTTGATTGGACATTAAACTACATATACACATAAGTTGAGTTTGTCAAAAAGTAGCGTCTTTGATTATTGTTCAGTGATTTTATCACTGAAACTAGCAAAATAAAAAGGCACTTAAAAGTCTATGTTGGCTGGTAGAAATATATGGTGAACACTCTCCATCGATTAGAATATGTGAGACATGGTTTCGACAATTAAAAAGTGGTGATCCCTATGTGAAAGACAGTGAGCACTTTGGTAGACTATAATTGCAGAAGTAGTTGGTTGATAATACAACTTAAACTCAACATTAATTGGCGAAAGCATTATACCTATGTGTCACAAGACACAATCAGCGAACGTTTACGATCAATGAGGAAGATCAATAAACAGTGTATATAATTCCAACACATTTGAATAAATGCTAAATCGAAATTTACAA